GGCTGTGGAAGACAATTTGGCAATTCCTCAGTAAGTTAAACATGTGACCCAACAATTCCACTCCTAGGCATTACCCAGAGGCATTGGAAACAGGTGTCTAAACAAAAACGTGTACATGAATGCTCATAGCAGCTCTATTCACTATAGCCAAAAGGTGGAAACAACCCAAATGTCAATCAACAGATGAATGGATAAGCAAAACATGGTCTATACATAATTCAGCTGTAACAAAGAATAAAGTACAAATCCATGCTCAAGCATGGATGAACCTTGAAGACATTATGCCAAGTGAGAGAAGCCAGACACAGAAAATCATATATTGTATGATTCCACTGATACGAAGTATTCAGAGTAGGCAAATCCACAGAGAAGCTCAGTGGAGGTCTCTAGGAGCTGGGGGGGACGGGGAGTGGGGGTGAGTGCTCAGTGGTTACAAGGTTTCCATTTGGGGTGATGAAAAGTTCTGAGCTAGATAGTAGTGATGGTTGTACAACATTGTAAATGCCCTTAAGGCCACTGAATTGTACATTTTAGAATGGTCACAGTGGTAAATTTTATGTTATGTGTATTTTCCCTCAGTAAAAAAAAAAAGAAAGAAAGAAAGAAAACAGCAGGTGGAACTGGGGCCAGGTGGGGGTCAGCAGAAATGGAACCATCTATAAAATGAAGGGTCTCTCATGATCTCAGAGGAGTCTATGATAAGGGATGTAGATTTCTATGATGTAGACCCCAGCAGTTATCCCCCTGCTTCTTTTCATTGGGGACAAGTATGGGGGACAATATGCAATTAAAGAATAAAAAAGCTAATGCCCACATCTTGGTCTCATGGAGTGCCAAAGCTGGGTTTCTTTGTGGTTCCAGGTTTCGGGTAAGTGGGGAAGGGGGAGACAGTGATCAGGTGGGCTTGAATGGGGGGATTCCAGGGGAGGAGCACACCCCTTTAGCCAGAGAGGCTATTATCTGTTTTATGTTTTTAAAGACTTTATTTATTTATTTGACAGAGAGAGACACAGCGAGAGAGGGAACACAAGCAGGGGGAGTGGGAGAGGGAGAAGCAGGCTTCCCGCTGAGCAGGGAGCCCGATGTGGGGCTTGAACCCAGGACCCTGGGATCATGACCTGATCTGAAGGCAGACGCCCAACGACTGAGCCACCCAGGTGCCCTGCTAGTATCTGTTTTATCTGTTAGGTTCTACATACAAATTTCTTTGAAAGAATGTAGCTAGAACACCAACTCGCTCATAAAATGAGGCGCAGACAGAAGAGACCCCGAATAGCCAGAGGAATATTGAGAAAGAAAAGCAAAGCTGGCGGCATCACAATTCTGGACTTCCAGCTCTATTACAAAGCTGT